TTCGGCTGGCACCCTCGCTGGGTGCTTTTAAGTTAGTTAAAAACTTGGCTATTTAGGCAGGCCTTCCCTCCAGTCAGATAAGTCTTTTTTAATTTCTTCTTTCCTTATCCTACCCCATCTTGGTAATCCTTTCTTAAATTGTTTTTAACTAATATAGTAATTGTATTTTTTATGATTATATATATTTTATATTGATATATTTTATGTTGTAAGCCTCACCGAGTAGACATGGTCTAGAGGGGTGGGGTATACATTTAATAAATAAATAAACAAACAAACAAATAAATACATGGGCACTTCCCTTTTGATATCGTACTGTGAATGCAAAGGGTCGTAGACTAAGGTACCACTGCATTAATCTGGGGGCACTTCCCTTTCAATATCGTACTGTGAATGCAAAGGGTTGTAGACTAAGGTACCACTGCATTAATCTGGGTTTGGTTTCTTTCATCCTATTGAGCTACTGCAAAGGTTCATGATTGGTTACAAGTGTGAACGGTTTTCCTAACAAGTAGCATTTCGGAGACTGCATGGCCCACTTAACAGCCCATGTTTCCTTTTCTATGGTTGCATATGTTTGCTCCTGCAGTGATAGTTTCTTATTAGATGCTCTTCTCCTGCTTTGACCTGAGCTAATATAGCTCCAATACCTCTATGTAATGTGTCAGTTTGGAGAATGAAAGGGAAGTTAAAATCGGGTGCATGTTGGAAAAGCTTTCGGTTCTTTATCACCCCATTTGACTAACTTAGAAGCCTTCTTTTTTGTTAGGTCAGTAAGAGGGGCTATCTGCAAACAAGAGAATGAACTGTCTATAGTAACTGGCAAGCCCTAAAAATTGTTGCTTTTCCTTATTTCTTGGTCTGGGCCATCAAGACAACTTGTCTACTTTATCTTCTAGGGGCCTTATTTTGCCTTGTCCTACTCTAAACCCTAAGAACCGAACATCTTCTTGAGCTACCTTGCACTTCACTGGGTTTACTCTTAATTTAGCCTTCCTCAACTCTTTTAATACCATATTTTTCTGTGTATAAGACACCCCCATGTATAAGATGCCCCCAATTTTCTAACCCCAAAATCCAGAAATCAACATTTTAAACATTAGAAAGGAACACATTTTTATTTAGTAATCAGGGAACATTCACCAGTCAGTACTATAATATGCATCACCCTCAGCTGAGCAAATCACTTCATTCAGCTTCTACAGTATTTGCACCACTGCTTTCTTCTACATCACTATTAGTAGTTTCAAGCATATCAGTTTCTTCAGCTTCTATTGCACCACTGCTGTCTTCTGAATCACTGTCTATATATACCAGGGGTTTGAAACTCAATTTACCTGGGGGCCGCTAGAGACAGAGTCTGGGTGAGGCTGGGCTGCATCAGATTTTCTGCCAAGCGGAGCAAGAGCCTGAGGAAGCCGCCCAGGAGTTTCCTTAGCAGACAGACAGGTGGGCTGACTGGCAGGCTGCAGTTCTGGATGGAGGGTGCAAGAGGTGCTGTCTTGGGAGAGAGCCGGCGAGGGAGGCAAGGCTTTTTTTTTCTCTTGACAGCAGAGGATGTGTCGGCGCTTTGTGGGGGGAGGCAAGGCGAGGGCCACAAACTATCATCTGGGGGGCCGCAAATGGCCCCCGGGCCGCATGTTTGAGACCCGATATATACTGTACTGTATATGAGATCATCCTCAGTTCCATCCATGGCATTGCTGATTCCACATTTCTTGAAGGACTTCACAATCACTTCGTTTTTGATGCCACAGCATGAATTTAGAACCCAATTGCTAACCTCAGTAATGTTTTTTTTTTCCACTCTTCCTGTCGGTGTCAAGTTACCACCTACTTTTTGAATCAATCTATTCCATTCTTCTCTCATCAGGACTTTAAATGGCTTGTTGATTGAATCATCTAGTGGCTGTGGCTGACCTGTAAGTCCACAGGAATAACTGCTAGATGTGTTCACAAATCCAATGCAAACTTTTTTGTCTTTTCTGTTAAATGTGCTCGGAACTGATGAAAGACAAGTAGAGCTGGCTTCTTTAAGAGCCCTCCAGGCCTTCTGGACCAAATATTTTCAAACCAAATGGCCATGATGTCTTCATTCATCCATCCCTTCTCATGAACGTGCACAATAATGCCATGTTGTATGATCTCTTTAGGATAACTTTGCCTCTTAAAAATAAGCATAGGAAGCAGTTTAGTACCATCATCTGCACAGCATGAAAGCACAGCAGTATAGTGTCTCTTTTCATGGCCACTTGTTTTGATTGCCACTGTTTGGATTCCTTTCACATCAACTGTTCAATTGGAAGGCACATCAAAATTGAGAGGCACCTCATCCATGTTTGCAATCTGACTTGGTTCAAAATATGTTTTTTTCCAAAGCTGTTATGACATAGGAGAGAAACTGCTGGATTTTAGCCTTAGAAAAGTTAGGTTACTTACCTGCAACGTTGGTTCTTCTAGTGGTACTCTGTGAATTCACACAATTGGGTTATCCTATCTGGTTTGGGCACCACTACTTCTTCACCTCTTTTCCTTTTTCCCCCTCCTCCTTTGCCACCTCAGTCTCCCAGTCTAGCTCTGTTCTACTCTCTTCTCCTCAGCCCATCACCAGATATCCCTCCACTATTGGCTCTTCCCCTTCCTCTTGCTCTTCGTTCCCGCTCTTTTTCTCCTCTACTCTCAGTTGGGCCACTGCTGGTATGCACTGTCTCATATCCCTCTGTTGTGAGTGCTGGAGGGGATTGCTCACACTCTTCTTTTCTGTTGGGAAGTGGTTCCTCCTCACACCTAGAAAACCCTGGAAAGGGTTGCCATAAATCAAATTTGACTTGACAGCACACAATTATTATGTCAAATTCAGCTGAGATAGAAGTTTACTAGCTAGAAAAGTGACCCCAATTATTGATATGCATAGCAGACAAAATTTTTGTCCTATATGCAGTTTTGGTTGCTTTGTGCTGAAATACTGTACTTGTTTCATTCAAAATCTGTGGTCTGTCTTTCCTTGTCTTTTCCCAACTTTGTTTCTTATGATCAGAATGAACTTCATGCTACATGTATCTAATGTCAACTTTCTGGCTAGGGTAGAAGTATCTTAAATTATTTTGCAGTACACTGTGCCCCCACATGTAAGTATCTCATTTTCTACTTGTCTGAAAGTCTTGGACTTAAAGCAGATACAGTTCCTATTCCCCTGAAAACGACACCAAAAAGACAGTATGGGCAGATATAGCTTTCCCACTAGCTCCACCAACTGAAATTCCTTCTTTTTGCACAGCTATAAAATGTGGAACAGCTTTGCCTACTTTTTCATGTGGCCACCCTACTTGGAGTACTTGTAGGAAGACCAGATGAAAAAGAGGACAAGATTCCTGTAGCTTTAAAATTTGTGTGAAGAGATTTCAGCTGGTAGGTTGCATATAAAGCTGTGTCTGCAAAACATCATTTTCTCAAGAGTAATTTAAAGGTACAGAAGCTCTATCTTCTTTTTTATCTGATCACCATTAACTACCTGTTTAACAAATTTCAGCTTTGCCTTAAAATTTTTGTTACTGCTCAGACTATATAGTTGATGATTTGTCATAGTTGCATAATAATTTTTAGTATCAATAATAATGATGAAGGCAACATGGATTTGTTGAGAGAATAGTCCTAGATTCCCCCACGGGACCTTCCCCAAGTAGACATAGCAACAATCATCACAATTATATACAGTATCATAATCAGACATATATTAATAAAGCCGACCTACAGTACTTGAAGCTACTAGCTGTAAACAGAATAGTTTTCTTTCCCAAGAGACCAGTTTTCAATCACAGAAAATGACTGCCTGAAAGTCTTGAGTTCTAGCACCTCTTATTTAGCACCCACTGCATAATATTGTTCCTGGAGTATTACTAGTGCTCTTGGAAAACAGCTGTTATGTCTGAAAGTGGCCTGTGAATTAAATAGTTCAAGCAAGCAAGTGGAGTAGATGTTGATAGCTGAATTACCTAAGCAGCTGAAGATGTTAACAGATTAATTTTCTAAGCAAGATAAATGTTACAATGGCATTTAAAAATCAAATTCTATCTCTGCTGAAATTTGGGAATAGTGTTCCTAAAGCGTAATTGTTGCTTGGTTCCTCAAGGTGAAATCAGCATACTGTTTTTTTTTCTATAATCCATAATTAAAATAAATTAGATTGCTGGCATTATAGAACCAATGCATGTAGCAGATGATCTGAATTGGGGTGGGTTGACAGGCAGATAGATACTTCAAATGTGTCCCCCCCCTTTACTAGATTTATCTGCAGATTGCTATCTTAGCTTCCTTTCTTTCTCCTCCCCTTGTCAGAGAAAAGCAGGTAATACTTGCAAACATAGTATGAAGCTTTGGAGGCTTCTAATGAAAATCTTCCAGTCCCTTTTATCCCTTGCAGCACACACGCCCTCCCAAAATGCTACAGAATTAGAAATCTTTCTATATGGTATGGGTGGGCTGAAGGAAGACCTGAAAACTGAACCACACAGAAGGTCTGTGCATGGCAGTTCAGTCTGAGTGATTTGTGAGAGGCAGAAGGGGAGAATACTGGGTTCCTGGATCTTTAATAGCTGTTTGGAAGAGGAAATTTCAGCAGGTGTAACCTATATAAAAACCTGCACCTGATGAATTCCTCTTTTAAGCAACTATTAAAGGTACAGAATGTCTTCTTCCTTCTGGTTACCTAACTCCCATGCTACAAAAACACTGAAGAGCAACTGAATGTGGGGTGCTGTGGTACAAAGAGAAAGATTCTCTTTCATCTGGTCACTCAATGTATAGGAAGTGACTATAACAACCACTAGTCAAAGAGTAGGCAAGTTAGCTTCTGCAAACTCACTTCTATCAGTAAGACATGGGACATCACAAGTTCTCAAGCAGATTTTTAAAAAATTAAAACAGAAAAAAACCTGTACACTTGAAAATTAATCCCACCTCATTATGATATATATATTTATAGTAAACAATGAACACTTTAATCAAATAATAGATTTTAGTCTTTATTCAACTGTAGTGCTGTAACAGATCACACCTGTGTACCAGAGCATACATCAACAGCCCGATGTAGACCTGAATTACACCACTGCTATAATATTTAGCTGTTTGAAGGAGACATAAGCATACACTGTGGCCACAAATAATTTTCTGCGATTTTCTTTTACAGCTTCAGTTTATCAGAAATATTATCTATTTTCAGGTTTCAGACTTAAAAGTCACTGATAAATTTGGTACAGGAAGAGCAAAAGAAGCAATCTTACAGGCACTGATATGGCAAACAATTCTTTTAATCAAGAGCTAATGGCATTGCTACTATAATGAAAAAGCTCTCTGAAAGCAATTAGTTACTTCTGTCCAAATGGGGGAAATGCCCTCTTTTTTTACATTTAACAAAATTTCAGAAAGTTATTTTTTGGCCTTGCTATGTCAAAGTCAATCAAAGACCTAGGTATAAAACCTAAAACAATACTTTTTAAAAGCCCTTCTATTAAAAACAAAGTCATGCAACTTTTGATCAACTATGCAATTGTTAAAATTGCTGCAAGTCCATATTTTATATGTTTAGCTTTTATATTGCTAATGCAGAACTAACAACAAACCTGATTAGAGGAACACAAATCTGTCTTAATTACACCATTATATCACTAGAGAAACAAATGCCATGGAATTGGCAGAAACATTTAATTGAAAGCACTTGAACAGCAGGATAAGTGTGTGTTAACACTTCACATTTAGGCGAAATAATTCTGCAGTTCCACTTTACAAAAAAAGTGTTCTGCTATAAAATATTAAGCAAGGAAGGAACTGTATTGACCATTTCTAATACAAAGCAACTTACAGCTAGTGTCAAAGATAACTAAAAAAATCTAAAGAGCAAAATACACAAAGCAACTGAAACACATAACTCTGTATTAAATACAGTACAATTTAAGTACACAGTGTACCAGTTAACATAAAGAATAGAAAACAAGAGCTGTATGTTAGAACTCGAACAATGTGGTGTAGCTTTAAAAAAATCAGAATACGGTTTCCATTTGTGATATCTTTCCACCATAATCAGTCTGCACATCCTTAAAAAAACAGTGTGAATGCCACACAAAAATAATTTTTCTAACTTTGGGGGATGTATTTAAACAGACTTTAAGAAAAAAATCTGACAAATGGCCTCCATTATCTTCTTTCTGTGTTAAAATCAAACATACTTCTTTTAAAAGTTATCATAGTCCTTTTTGTCTTTTTTCCCCTCAGCCTCAAATCCATCAACTCCATCACTGTCCCTTCTCCTTTTACGATTGTTGTGAATACTGAAGCGCTGGTTCATCTGAGGCAAAGGATCCATTCCTAGAACCTTATGTATTTGACGGAATGCAAGGAGTCTCAGTGCAAACTGTTAACAAGAAGGGAAGGGAAATTGTCAGAATTACTGAACTTTGACTCTGCCAAAAAAAGCCTATTTATTTTAGTAAGATACTTCCCAAAATTCAAGACTATATATAAAACCCACTTTTATATATTCTTTACTATCACACCATAGTTAGGCTTTGGAATGTTCTTTGAAGTAAATCAGTTGCACAATAAAGGTAATTCTATCCACATGTAATATTTGCTGCAAGATTATGCCTGTAATAGCATATTTATTATTTTCTTTGTGTTTCATATAGCATTTCCTTTCAGGCTATTCCTTAAATTTTAACTAATTTATGAAAAAAGAAATATAGAAAGTTTACAGAAAGTCAGTTAATTTCTCCCTTCTCCAAAAGGAAAATAAAATACCACAATTACAGGCAACTTACTCACTCCCCAGGTTTTGCTGCAAAAGTCTATGGCTGATATCCTGTTGGCATAGCTACGTCTGTGGAAGGGTAATGATGTCACCATGAGGGAAAGTTTTGGGTAATTAAAAACTTCTCCTTCTCTTACCATTTTTCTGACTCATGCATAATTCCCTTCAATGCATGTGGGCTGTGGAACAGGAAGAGAAAGTCTACTACTGAAAATTGCTGCTGCCAGATTACATTGCCAGCAGGGAAAGACTTTTTGTAATAAAATACCTCCTCCTGTCCTGCATTGTGACTTTTTTGATTATTCATAAATCAAAAAACCTGTGGGAGTGAAGTAGTAGGTCTTTTATTATCCAAACATTTCCCCCTCCTGATGACATCTTCATCCTTTCATAGGTAGAATACACTAACAGGATTTCAGTACAAATATAATTTTTATTTTTCTAACAGATTCACAACATTTAACTATTATATTTACCTGTGCACTTGAAGTAATATCCTCTCGTTGCTGATCCGTCATTAAAGCAAGTGTATCAAAAGGATCTTTTTCACAAGGATCCAAAAGCCCAGGACCTCCTGTAACAAAAACAGCAAAAGTTTTTACTAATTTAATATACCTAATATTATATACTTTTTTAATGTAACCAAACAGTGTATGCATATCCAAAGGCACTAGGTTCTTAGAAGTTAGTATTTTCAGGAGACAGAACAAGTTTCAATGGTTCCAACACTAGGCCTATTATCAAGAGGAAAATTCAAAACTTCTGCATAAAGCACTAACCTCAATATTATGTTTTGCACCAGATTAGATTAATTAAACAATAACTTGCCTTTAAGGATAATTCCTGAAGATATACATTCGAAGACTCTTCTTAAGGCATCCCCAGGGCTCTGTGGCCCAGTAGCACTGCTAATTGCCTTCTCTACCAATAATTCCATTGCCTAGATAAAACAATGAATAATAAAGATATACCACTGCTCATATCTACACAGTTCATGTTCTCATTTAAGACATGATATGTACATTCCACAAAGCAGGGGTAAGTAAAATAACTTCAGTTTTTGATTGTCTAAGAAACATAATAGTTCAAGAAAAAACAAAAATAATTGCATTTAAGCTAATGACTACTAACATATGTAGACATCTTATCAATGTTCACATCACTGTATTTATTCATACTGCCATGTTTACTGAAAGGGGACAAAACAGACTGAAGTTTGTTTTTTCCATTCCAGAGCATTCCATGAAATAGTAAGGAACATTGTACCATACAGAACCTAAATTAAAGGCTTGGATACTATATTATTATTCCATGAACTGCAAGGCTTCTTCCCTTCAAGGAAGGTATTCAGATCCACCAACTGTTCCTGCAAATGCTTTGAGTACTGGCAGCTTTCACTTATTCTCCCATTCCACTCTATTTGTGAGTGCCATCTCCCACCATGTCCCAGAGAACAGCCCCAAAACTATCCAGATGAGATTTTTGTGAGAGGAAGGGGGGTACAAGGGGAATGGGGCAAACTGACATTGTTCTTCTACAAGCATCTTATGAACAGAATTCCACTCATGAGACACACTATAAAATATCAAAATGTTCAGCACTACAAAATCCAGATACAAAATTGCCAAATAGCCACTTTTTTCCCCTACTGGAGACTTTAAAAACACTTTAAAAATAGATGTAAAGTAACAATATTGTCCAGCACTCAAGATCAAAAACTAACCAATTATCGTATTTTTCGCACCATAAGACGCACTTTCCGCCCACAAAACAGGGGTGGAAAGTCTGTGCGTCTTATGGAGCGAAGAAAATAGATTATATTTTCCTGTTTTCTTCTCCTAAAAAATTGGTGCATCTTATGGAAAGGTGTGTCTTATGGAGCGAAAAATACGGTAGTTGTTAAAAGCCTATCTAAAAAAAGATGGTCCTCATCTGTCACTGAAAGGACAAGAGGGTGGGCACCAACCTAGCCTCCCAAGGAAGGGCATTCTACAGCCTTGGAGTAGACACAGAGAAGGCCCCCTCTCACATTCCCACCAGACATTCCTGTGAAAGCAGTGGCACCAAGAGAAGGGCCTTCCCTGAAGATCTTAGGAACTAAGAAGGTTCATCAGGGGACATACAATACTTCATGTAGCAAAACTGTTTTGTCTCAATGAACACTCCGAACCTGGCCTGGAAACAGAGGCAGCTGGTGAAACCATTACTGTATGTTAGAGGAATGATATAGTGCCTGCAACTGGCCCTAGTTAGCAGCCTGGCTGCAGCATTCTGAATCCTCTTTAAGTTTGTGAACCATGTTCAAAGGCAGCCCCAGAGTACATCACAGTAATCTCAGCAGGATGTAAATAAGACATGTGTTACTGCAGCCAAATCAGACATCCACAGAAATAGGCACAGCTGGCGCATCAGTTTTGATTGTGCAAATGCACTAATGACCATGGCTAAAACTGAGCATCCAGACTCAGAGATGAATCCAGTAACTAACACCCAAGGTGTGAGCCCGACTGTTCTTGAACAGAATAACCCCATTCAGCACAAGTTCAGTTTCTGGCTCTGGCCCTTTTAACCTTTCACCGACAACTGACAACTAGAGATGGGGGTATTCGAATATCCCCACATAGGTGGAAATAACAAGGGTCCACTTATGATTTTGCCACTGCCACTGGCTCCTCGGAGGCTTCCTATCATGCTGTTCTCTGCAATGGATAAGCCATTCTCCGACCTAGCAGAGAGGCTTGTCATCCTGCCTTCTGCCAGGACTGGGTAATCGACTGTGGACAACGGTGCAATAGGAAGGTATGGCAAGCTTGCGCCAGTGGCGAAATTGTGAGTGGAAATAACCGTCATTATTTCTACCTGTGCGGGGATATTCATGTTTGCATACGAATACTCCCATCTCTACTGACAACCCATCTCTTCTGTTTGGATCCATGAATTTATTTTTTTAATATTATTTTTAATTATTCAACTGTATTGTAATTAGCATGTAGTTTAATTGCTTTTTAATCTTTAACTTATGTTCTTAATTCTGCTCCTTTTAATATTGTGTACTACTATAAGTCCCCTTTATTAGGAGAAAGGCAGCATATAAAAGAAACAAATACCGTATTTGCCGGTGTATAAGACGACTGGGTGTATAAGACCATCCCCAACATTCCCACTCAGAATGTAGAGTTTGTTATATACTTGCTGTATAAGACTACCCCCTCTTCCGCATGCGTGATTCTGCTTTGGCTGCATCATAGGGAGAGTTCCTTTTGCCCCTTTTGGTTCCTTTTTGGAGAGAGCCAGGATTTGCTGGAAGAAGGAACAGCAGAGAGACGGCAGCTATTTTGCAGAGGCAGCAGCCATGTGGTCACATCTCAAAATGGCTGCCGCCTCTCTGCTGTTCCCCACAGTCAGCTGTTCTGCGCTAGAGTCAGGCTGTTCCCAGGCTAGGAGCTGCTGTCCTTGGTCTTATTACCAGGTAAGTGACTTCGCTGGGAGAGGAGGGGTTGCTGGACATGCACCCGGCATACAAGACGACCCCCCCACTTGGAGGCATGTTTTTCAGGGCCAAAAAGTCATCTTGTACGCCGGCAAATACGGTAAGAAATATTCCCTGATCTGCCTTACAACTGACCGGTAGCACCTCTATCCTATCTGGATTAAGTTTCAGTCTGTTTATCATCATCTAGTTGACCACAACAAACCACGGCAAGTTTTTAAAGAAATGGGAGTGCCTGACCACCTTATCTATCTCATGAGAAATTTATATGTGGGACAGGAAGCAACAGTTAGAACTGGATATGGAACAAGTGATTGGTTCAGAATTGGGAAAAGAGTACGACAAGGCTGTATATTGTCTCCCTGCTTATTTAATTTATATGCAGAATACATCATGCAAAAGACAGGACTGGATGAGTCCCAAGCCGGAATTAAGATTGCTGGAAGAAATCTCAACAACCTCAGATATGCAGATGATACCACTCTGATGGCAGAAAGTGAGGAGGAATTAAAGAACCTCTTAATGAGAGTGAAAGAGGAGAGTGGAAAAAAGGTCTGAAGCTCCACATATAAAAAAAACCTAAGATCATGGCCACTGGCCCCATCACCTCCTGGCAAATAGAAGGGAAAGATATGGAGGCAGTGACAGATTTTACTTTCTTGGGCTCCATGATCACTGCAGATAGTGACAGCAGCCACAAAATTAAAAGTCACCTGCTTCTTGGGAGGAAAGCAATGACAAACTTAGACAGCATCTTAAAAAGCAAAGATAGAACTTTGCCGACAAAGGTCCGCATAGTCAAAGCTATGTTTTTTCCAGTAGTGATGTATGGAAGCGAGAACTGGACCATAAAGAAGGCTGACTGCCAATGAATTGATGCTTTTGAAATGTGGTGCCGGAGGAGACTCTTGAGAGTCCCCTGGACTGCAAGGAGAACAAGCCTCTCCATTTTGAAGGAAATCAACCCTGAGTGCTCACTGGAAGGACAGATCCTGAAGCTGAGGCTCCAATACTTTGACCATCTGATGAGAAGAGAAGACTCTCAGGAAAAGACCCTGATGTTGGGAAAGTGAGGGCAAGAGGAGAAGGAAACGACAGAAAACAAGATGGTTGGACAGTGTCATCGAAGCAACCTACATGAATTTAACGAAACTCTGAGAGAAGACAGGAGGGCCTAGCGCACTCTGGTCCATGGGGTCACAAAGAGTCAGACACGACTTAATGACTAAACAACAACAACAAAGTCCTTTACCAAAAACTGGTTTAGAACAGACATATCTTTCTTAGAATCAGTCAGGAAGGAGAGAGAGTTGGGCATCGTTTGCATGCAGGTGATACCAAATTCCAACACTTCCAATGTTTCCTAGTGGTTTCACGTATGTGTTGAATAGCATGGGGTGTGGGAAAACCCTGCCCAAGGCCATTAGTTATTATCTGCTACAGTGAGAGCAAACTCTCCTGGCAGAGAAGCAGCAGCAGCCCAGCAGGCGGGTGACCTCTCATTCTGCCTTTCTTCTTAAAGTTAGAGCATAAGTTCAAAGACTTTCTCCAGCCAATCCTAGTGGCAATTAGGTAACCAGTACTGTATCCTATTTAAATTCTCAGAACATACAATGTAACGCTTGATAAGTTAATAAAAGTGTTCTCAAGGTGTTGCCTTTAGGCTCTGCTGGTTCAGATATCTGCTTGTCAACTTCTTTGCAATTTTTTAAAGGGTAATTGCCTTCCTATTGTCTGTGATCACCCACATCATTAGTTTTCCTTTTGCTCCGTGATCACCTACAATGGGGGACAAAACAGAACCCTGAGGAACATCACAGGTTAAAGGCCAAAGTGTTGAACAGGACCACATTCTAAGACAGCCTCAACAGGAAGGACTGGATCCACTCCAAGTACCTTCAAGTCCCATCCTAGAGAGACACCACAGTTGATGATACTTCTGAAAGCTGCTAAAAAGTCCAGCAGACCCAACAGACACACTCTCCTCCCATCAGTTCCCAGCATAGGTGATGATTAAAGTTGTCTCTGTCACATAAGCAGGACTAAAGGCTGATTGAAATGTGCATCTCTCTCTCACACCCCTTCTCCCCTTTAAAGTTTGGAATAAAATCCAGATCAGAGGAACTGCCCCTGCAAAATCAGTCAATAGCCTCCACTGCTTGGAGGTATTTTTAAAGTCATTGGCTTTATGGTTTGCCAAAATCCATGGATCAAACAACAGTACTTTTTTGAGGAAGTGTGCAAGAAAGGATCTATTATTACAGAAATGCTGAAGTGTAGAGGACTGAAGAATAAGAGAAAATGTCCTGTATATAGTAGGATCTTACTGGAAGCAACTTTACAAATTATGCTAAACCTGGTTTAAGCTCTGGCAAAGCAGTCATTTTCTTCAGCTCTTGTCTGTAGTACGAAAAAAAAAACCCACACTTAATTTGCTCAAGTGCTTTGAAAGCTAGAAGCACAACTACTAATGAAATAAAGTTATACAATGAACAAGTTGGTGTGTTCTGTGGATCTCTATTCCTCATTTTACAATCATAGGTTTTGATCAAAGTGGAATTCAACATGAACAATAAAGATTTCAGCCCCTCCATACTACAACTCAGGGTCCCAGCACCTTCACTGCTGGTTTGAAGGTGATACAGGAAAGGGTCTTCTCTGCTACTGCTCCTAGATTTTGGAACTGCTACAGAAGGCCAGACTGGCTCCATCTTTGCTGACCAAGCATGCCAAGACCTCTCTGTTCAAGCAACTTTTCCCTCAATAAGGGGCATGGGATTTTTAAATGGATTGTTTGGCATTACTGCTTTGAATGTGTTTTTAGCATTGCTTGTGTTTTCCATTTCTCAGAATGATATTTGTTTCTTTTTAATATCTCTATACAGTACATTGTTTTTAGCCATAATGTTGTCTTACAGTTACGTAATCCGCCTTGGGTTATTTTTAAAGAGAAAGGTGGGCTAAAAATATTGTAAATAAATAAATTAAATCAACCTGACTTAAATCATAATTAAAATCAGTGTAAAATTTAAAAAATGACTTTTGATTATTTAAATTTTAAAAATCAATAGGTTTTGATCAAACTTATAGATTTTTTTAATCAATATGTTTTATCAATTGATTTAAAAATCACTGATTTCCAAAATAATTGTTTAAAAATCAGGGGACCATCTGGAACTATATGGATATGCAATTTAGGGGACCGGTATAAATTAGAGACTTCCTCCAACTTTTGTCTGAGATTGCTGTAAGCTGCTATGTAACAGCAGCCTGTGAGCTCCTTCTGCACACACTCCCTAAGGTTCAAATACATGGTAGGGAATGTAGTACACAATTCTGAGAAAATAATTCTTCTCTTTCTTTCTCTCACAAAGACATGTCTTTACCAAAAATAAAAACCCATGCAATATTTTTTTAAAAACCCAACCACCACCACCAACAAAAACCCACATGGAAATATTTTGCTTTGTCCTCATCTGATTGATCCTTTCACTTCTGAAAACAAATTAGCCACTTCAGAGAAAGAAAGTAAATTAAGTTAATGTTGTATACTGATGTTAGCATCAAGGGCATTTGAAGAAGCAAAAACAGCAGTGGAAATCTGATACTTCACTAGTAACAATAAGTGGCTTCAAAGTGCTACTTACCCAGCTTGGAAAATCAGACCAAGTGGGAACTCGCTGACAGAGATCACGTAGAATTCGTATGATAATGACACAGGACTGCAGACCATTAGCTCTAGCCTTGAGAGCAACACAAAATCAAGTTAATCAATCCTGGTCTGCCTGGAGAAGAGGCCTCTTAGAAAAACTAAAACACCACTGTTCAATGGAAGCTCAGATACAGAGAAGAAACAAGCCATTTGTAAACATTCCAGGAGCTGCCATTTACAGAAGCATTTTATGTCAAGGTTAGTAACTTAACAAGTCAAGGTGCACAGTTTATACAAGACTAATATCTCTTGAGTTCCTGCACACTTTGACCTATGATGCAGCAAGTACAATTATCTTCCTATAATACAAATACAAAAGTAAAGAGCTAGCAAGTAGAGAGACTGAAAGGCTATGGGAATCAGTTTGGTTTCTTCGTTGTGCCTTTGCTTTACTGCAAAGTCACTGAACCAAATAGTTTCCCACCTTTCATTCCCTACACTTAATAAGCTTATAGAAATAAAGAGTAGAAGTCTTTCACCTAGAACACAAAGCTTTAAACACACATTCTGTTATTTAAAGCAAAGTTACTCTGCAGCCTTATGGAATACATTACAAATACAAAAACATACGATTCCCCCAAAGCGAGTCAACTTTCAACTTCGCTACTATCTCAATGGCCAGAAAAAAATGCTTATGTCAAATTGGCAGGAACTGCATAAAACAGCTCTTTATACAGGTCTTCCAAGACAAATTAATTTTCCCCCTAGTCTTTTAAATTTATATATAT